CAGGGCATTGGGGAGTGAAGAGTCAGCCCCAGCCTCACTGCTATTAGCTTGATGTACAATCCATAATTAATAACAATCCACAGTTACTTAGGATCCAATTCTAAGATGCTACAGGTGACTGCAGGAGAAAGGCTTAAGTTTACAAGGCTAGTGGTGTTTATTAAAGAATACCTGGAATCCAGTAGAAATCAATTGCCTCACAGTCCAATTTCAGTTACCCCAGCAGCTCCATTTAAAATTACTTTAGCTTCCTTTACTCTGAGGCCTGTTCTGAGCATCACCCTGAGCATCATTTCCATCACTTTGAACTCCATAGACATCAAGTATGTACGAGACATGCAGAACAGGACCCAGCCCAACCAACCTACTTTCCTTTGTTACCTCTCTCTTATAAATATGTCCACATGGATAGGTTGAGCTGGTCCAGGTTACTTCTTGCATTAGAGACTGATCAGCCTCCAGGGGCTTTGATTCTTGAACTAAGTGTTCCACCTTACCTTACAGGTGGTCCCAGTCTCTGCAGGAACACTCTCAGAGATTGGAACCTCACTTCCTAAAAGACCACCTATTCTATTGCTATACAGTTCTAATTATTACAAAGTTCCTCCCCATACAAAACCCAATTCTGCCTTTCTACAACTTTTAAAATTGTTTTTATGTGCATTTATAACCTGTCCCTCCTACTTCCACCTCCCCAAATTAACAGAAAAAGGAAAAAACAAAAACTTTATTATAAACATGCATAGTCTAGCTAACAAATTCCCACACTGGCCATGCCTGAAAATGTACATGTCTCTGCATTTTAAATTCATTACCTCTCTGGCAGGAGGTAAGTGGTGGGCTTCATCTCCAGTCTTTTGGATGTATGGTTTATCATTACATTAATCAAAACTCTATGGTCTATCAAAGTTGGTTTTTTTTCTGTAATGTTATTGTGTTAACTGCCTTCTAGCTCTGTCTACTGCTTTGTGTCAGTTCAAAGAGTTCTTCGTACTACCGATTCCATGATTTCTTAACATTCCATTACATACATATACCATAATTTTTTTTTAGCCATTTCCCAATAGAAGGCCACTATCTTAGTTTCCAGTTCAGGGCTATTACAAAAAGAGGTTCTATAAATACTTTTGTAATGTGTAGATTCTTTTTTTCTCTTGCTTTGATCTCTTTGGGATGAAGTAGTATCTACTAGTGATATAACTGAGTCAAGGGGTAAGCATAATTTGGGGTATAGTTCCAAATTGTTTTCCAGAATGCCTGTATTAATTCATAGCTCTACGAACAGTGAGCTAACATGTCTGTTTTCCTATAGACCCACAAAATTTATTGTTTTCCTTTTTTGTTATCATCTTTGTCAGTCTGATGGGGGTGAGATAGAACCTTAAAGTTGCTTTAATTTGCATTTCTCTAATAATCAGTGATTTAGAACATTTCCATATGATTGTTGATAGCTTGTATTGCTTCCTTTGAAAACTGCCCCTTCATATCCTTTGACCATTTATCTATTGGAGAATGGCCCTTAGTCTTATAAATTTGAATCCATTTCTTGTGTATTTTAGATATGAGACTTTCATCAGAGAAACTTGTTGAAAAGATTTTTCCCATTACCTTTATCCTTCTAATTTTAACTACATTAGATTCATTTGTACAAAAATTCTTGAATTTTATAGAAAAAAAATTATTCAGTTTTATTTTGTGTAGCCTTATCTATTACTCGTTTAGTCATCAACTCTTTCACTCTACATAGAGGTAATTTCTCCCTCACTTCTCTACTTTGTTTATGATGTGTCCCTTTACAGCTAGATAATTATCCATTTGTAGCTTACCTTGGTATATGTTATAAAATGTTGGTCCAAACTTGATTTTTCCCAGTGTGCAATCCAGATTTCACCTATTGGTTTTAGGGCTATCTTCTGTGGCTAGCCCAAGACAAATCTAGTTCCTTCCACATTGATAGGTCTTCAGGTTATTGAAGATTTACTATGTTTTTGCACCCACCAGGTACAGTGACTCCTGGACCAATTAGTAAAAGTTGGGCCCTTCCCAAGTTTGTTCTGAGCAGCAAGACAAGTACACACATCAACAATTTTTGCTGTTACTGATTAACAGGATGTGAACTCTACCTAAAAAAGTAAAGCAATCTATATTATTGCAACCATTATCTGAAACAAAGGCCCTCTGGCCACTTCAAGGTTTGGCATGGATGCTCATAAATCTATCTCTGGATTATTTATGTGATTCGTTTTTCCCAAGATGACCTTTCAGGGAGTCTCTAAGGTCGAGTGACAAAGGAGGAGTGGTACCTGTCTGTGTTATCTGAGAAGGGATGCATCCAGGTGCTGTAGGAGACTGGTTCCATGGAAGTAGAAATCTATGTATAAAAGCAAAGCTTAAGGCCTAGAATACGTGTCTACCATATATGGAAGATAATAATAAGATTATCATCTTGCGCCTATGTGTTCTTGGGGAGGGGCAGTGTCAGCCATGCCCTGCTGATGGGAGCCTCTGAGCACCAATTTGGTTTCAATTTGCCACTATTTTCTTTTTTTCTTTTTTTAAAAAAAAATTTATTAATTTATTTTGATTTATCAACAATCACTTCCATATGCATTTGAGTTGAAAATTTTTCTCCCCTTCCTCCCCCCACCCTCCCCAAGACGGCGCACAATCTGATACAGGCTTTACATTTACATACCCATGAAACATATTTTCACATTAGTGAAGTTGTAAGTAAAAATTAAAACCAATAAGAGGAACCATCAGAAAGATGAAACAAAACTCAACAGAAGGTAAAAATAAGTGAGAGCGATTCAACTTCCATAGTTCTTTCTTTGGATGTGGACAGCATTTTCCATCATGAGGCCTCTGGAGATGTCTTAGATCCTTGTAATGCTGAGAAGGGTTCAGTTTAACAATATTAGTCATCGCATGACGTGGCTGTTATTGTGTACAGAGTCCTCTTGGTTCTGCTCACTTCACTCAGCATCAGACCACAGAAGTCTTTCCAGGTTTTTCTGAAGTCAGCCTGTTCATCATTTCTTACAGCACAATAGTATTCCATTACATTCATATACCACAACTTGCTTAGCCATTCCCCAATTGATGGACATCCTCTCAGTTTCCAATTCTTTGCCACCACAAAAAGAGCTGCTATGAATATTTTTGTACATGTGGGTCCTTTTCCCATTTGTTTGATCTCTTTGGGATATAGCCCTAGAAGTGCTATTGCTGGATCAAAGGATATCAATTTGCCACTATTTTCACTTAATAGCACGTGATGTGCTGTCTTCTTCCTAAGTAGGACAAGTCTTGCCTCTCACCCATTCTTTTATTCTTCAGTACTACCTCACTTAGTGCTCAACAGTGTTGACCCCCAAGACAGAAGCAGGAGACTACACTGGCCAGAGAATGAACTATCACTCTTATTGTCCTTTCACAAATTCTGGTGTGCTTCTAGGTACTGTAACCATCTAGACTGGCCCTCCTCTTCTTTGGAGATGATTACTCATAGCTCTGGTAATTAGTTTAATCCTAGGTCCCAGAACCATGACTAGGAATCCCACAGTCAGGGGCAAATTCTTTGTATATTTGTGTGTGTGTGTGTGTGTGTGTGTGTGTGTGTGTGTGTGTGTATGCATGCATGTATATGTATGCCTATTCCCATGTGCATGTTTGTAGGGAGGTATGGGTATTAGCATTGGCTGCAGGTATATTCTCCCAGAGAGTCCTGCAAATGCCTAGAGAGGTTATGGGGAAAGATAGACCCCAGAGCAGTAGCATCTCATTGGCACGCCCCTGCAGGTGGCAGTTGGGGAGTAGTTTGGCTCAGGTTGATGGATGACCGTGAAGCAAGGCACAGGGGTAGTGGGCAATACAGGGAGGAATCACACACGCCACCAAGCGATGCTTTAAAAGGCATCTCCCTGGAGGTTGGTACCCTCGAGCAAAGCCCCGGTTGCCCTGCAGTAGTTTTGGCTCTGCTTGCTTCTTCGCCATAATTACGTAAAGAAAGTGAGCAAGGTGACCAAGAGTTAGGAACCATGGGTGTTCTAGTCCTGAGTAGAACATTTGCTAGCCATGGGAGAGCAGCAATTTGAATAAGTCACTTGGTTCCTGGGGCTCAGTTTCTGTGTTTGCAAGATGAGGGGACTGGAAGAGATGATCCCTAAGGCCCCTTGGAGCTCCGATGTTCTGTGTTTGCATATATTTGAATGTATTAAAGTGACACTTCCATTTTGTCCCAGGCCAGGGTGGAGGCAGGGTGAGGAAAAGGCAGGGCACTTTGTGGTACTTGATCTGGTTATTCTGGACCTGAGAGTCTGCAGGAATTGCAAAAGATTCCTAAAATCAAGCCACTGCTCGGATTCTTATAATCTGGCCAATACCTCACGGGTGCTCAGATTCCTTAAGAGTCTGGCCAGTATGGTGGATCTTTAATAAACCTTGTCTTTGGCTGAAAAAAAAAAGTTTTTCCATTTCCCTAATAATGTGGGGGCATAATTTCTTGGGTACAGAAGAACCTCCCTAATTCCTCAAAAGTCCAGTGGGTGGTAATAGCCCTGAGAGTGTGGTACTGTAGAAAGAGCTTTGGATTTGGAATTAGAAGGCCTGAGTTCAAATGCTTCTCAGTTTCCTCATCTGAAAAATGAGGTGGGACTTGATAGCTAGAGGCCCCTTCCAGCTCTAGAACAGATCTCTGATCCTATGAGAGTTAGGAATTCTCGGGCTAAGGATAGAAACGTTATGGTCTGGTTGGCCAGAAATGAGGCAAAGAGTGAGCGGGGAGAAGAGGAAGCTCATCCTATGGGTCTGTGGATCTCACCTGTTGTTTTATTTTTTCAGCTCAGCCATCGAGAGCTCAGAATTCCCCCCAGTTCCAGGATGCTCAGAGAAAGATGGCTGAGAGCTTTGTCTCTGGCTCACTCAGTACCTGTTTCTCATTCTCCTCTCCAATGCTGGAGAAAACCAGCCATAACCTTACCTGTGATTAAATCTTTCAGTTTCTCTTCCAGAGCCAACACTTGCACCTGAGCCCTTTAAAAAGAAAGATGTGGTCGAGATTTTGTCTCATAAGAAGGCCTATAATACATGTAAGTGGATGTGGGGGGGGGAGCAGGGCAGCAAAAACAAATTAGATAATTTGGGACTCTTTTTGGAAAAATGAGGAACATAAAACACAAATTTTGTGGGACACAGATGACACAGATCAGAAAGGACTCCAATTTATCATGGGAGTTCTTAGATATGACAGCCTCTCTCTGCCTAGGATCCCACAGATGCCTCTCTGACTCTGCCTTTGAGTGTGTTAGCATTGCTCCCAGATTGGAATCTAGAAGATTAGCTGAGATGACACAGATATTTGCAATTCCCTATGGCAGCAGAGTAGTGTGGAACGTGTACAGCACCAGAAGTCAGGAGCCTGGGCTCTAGTTCTGGCTCTCAGTAAGGAGCTAGGTGACCTTGGATGAGTCCTTGGGTGCCTCCTCTCTCTAATGAGTGAGTTGCAATAGATGAGCTCCAAGGTTCTGCTACCTCTGGGAGCCTCTGATTCTCCTAAGCCTGAGTGGGGTGTGAAACCCCAGATGTCTACAACAGTTGGCAAGACAAGACTCTGGTTGATGCTGAGGAGCTCACAGAGCTTCCGTGCACCTGTCCTGAGACTGGAGGGACACAAGGGCAATGGCGGTGGCTGGTTGAGGGGCCGGCAACCCCCTTTCCTCTCCCATCAACTCCTCTGTGTGGCTCTTCCTTTCTCCCACACTCCCTAGCTATACTCATTGCTCACCTGAAGCTATCTCCGCCTGAGCTCCGTCAGATCCTCATGAACATGGAAAGCGAGAGGCTGGAGCCCTCCCACCTCAAGCAGCTCCTCTTGTACGCTCCCGATGCCGAGGAAGAGAAGCGCTATCAGGGCTACAGGGACACCCCCAGCCAGCTGAGCGAGCCTGACCAGTTTGTCCTGCAGGTGACAGACCAGGGGCGCTGGGGGGTTGCCTGGGGGAGTCTTGGTGGGCTCCCAGCCCGCCTTGAACATGATTTCTAGGAAAACATTCCATTTTAAAAGAAGGCTACCAGCTCCCCTAAAAACCCAGCAATCATCAGTCAATGGCAGACCCTGAGCTGGAACTCGGGCCTCTCAAATCCTAATGCAATGTCTGAAACACTCCTCTGCTCCACAGTGAAGGAAGGAAATAAGTATTTATTAAGCGCCTGCTATGTGCCAGGCATTTACAAATATTATCTCATTGGATCCTCACAACAACCCTGGGAGGTGGGTGCTATTTTTATCATCCCCATTTTATAGTTGAGGAAATTAGAGCAGACAGAAGTGCCTTCCCCGGGATCATACAGCTTGTAAATGTCTAAGGATGGATTTGAATTCAAGTCTTCCTGACTCCAGGCCCAAGGCTCTATCCACTGTGTCACCTCACTGCCATTCGTTTATTCAGTACATCTTTATGGTGGAGTGAGTAGGAAACTAGCCATTAAAGCCAGGAAGAGTTCAGGTCTTCCCTCTGACACTTACTGGCTGTAAGCAAGTTGCTTAATCTCTCAATGTTCTAGGAATCTCTCTAACTATAAACTGCAGAGAAGATGCCGGCCTACTTGGATAGAGGGAGTTTCCTCACCTGGGAGTTCCCTTTACCAGTGAAATCACAGGTCCAGTCTGTATTCCTATCCCTTTCTTTAGTAAACACCTACAGGGTACAAAACATTGTGCTTGTGCTATTGGGAGAGCTACAAAGTTTAGACTAAAAAGAGGTAACTGCTCCTCTTGGGCAGCCAAATAAGGGACAAGATGCAAACACTTTTAGGACATGCTTCCTTCAGCTACTGTAAGTCCCTCATGTTGCATTTTGAGTTGAATTTTTCTTCTTCAGTTCAGACAGAAGAGAACATACCTCAGGGGTTTGTGTGGGAAGAATGACTTCCCATGACCCCTGGGCCACTGTTCCCAACCAATAAGAGGCAGAGGAGCCCTAGAAGGTTATCTGGTTTAGTGGGAAGAATATTGGTGGAAGAGTCAGGAGACCTTCCTGGGTGAAGTGGACTTAATAAGGTGCTGCACCTCAGCTTTTAAAATTGTAAAACAGGGGGCAGCTAGGTGGTGCAGTGGATAGAGAGCCTTCTCTGGAGTCAGGAGGACCTGCATTCAAATCTGGCCTCAAGATGTTTGCCACTTACTAGCTGTGTGACCCTGGGCAAGTCACTTAACCCCATTGGCTAGTCCCCAAAACTGTAAAACAGGAACAAACAGTCCCTGCCTGGACTTTCTTTCCAGTCTATTATGTGGATCAAATGGGATAATGGATGTAAAGTGCTTTGAAAACTGTAATTTGCTATACACAATTATAGGATTGTTGTTGGGAAAAGAGCTCCAACTAGGGTCAGAGGACCTGGGTTCAAGTTCTATCTCTGGCACTACCTGTGTAACCTTGAGGAAGTCATATAAACTCTGGCTCTCAGTTTCCTCTCTATAAAATGAAAGGGGTTGGATTCATTGTCCTCTGAGGTCCCTCCCAGCTCTCAATCTAAAATCCTGTCATTTTTTAAATCCAATCTATGATTTCACTGATATTGGGGAAGTCTTGGGAAGGAAACTCCTTCTATGAATGCAAGGAAACCACTCCTCCTCAGTGCTTTTCTTAGAAAGTTGCCCAGGGCACCCAAAGGCATGTTGATTTTTTATTAAGAATATTATTCTCCTTAATAAGAATATTTATTAAGAATTCTTTATTAAGAATAACCATAATTATTATGATTAATCCCAAAACTTTTATTCGATCACAAAAAGTGATCATTTTATCCACCTGCACCACCATCTGCCGAACATTAAAGGCAAAGGAACAATCTTAGGAGAGCCCTTTGTCCTGGGGCCATTTCTATCTGAACTCTGTCAAATATAAGATGAGGAGGAGAACAACAATAATGATGATAATAAAGGGAAGCATCCACTTAGAGCACATCATCTCCATTCCTGTGTGTCCTTGGGTGACATGTCCAAGGAACGGAGGAGAGTTTAGTAGGTGTGGTCCAGGAGACTCTGTTGGACTCCAGGGAAAGGGTGATAGGGTTGGTAGGTTGGGGTGGGTGAGGCTGGGTGGGGTCACAGGCAGCCTCACTCTTACTTCAGTCTGGGCATCCCTCTCTGACATCTCCATTCTGCTTAGATGCTGTCCGTTCCAGAATATAAAACCCGGCTGCGCAGCCTTCACTTCAAGACTACCCTGCAGGAGAAAACTGAGGAGATCAAAGGCAGCTATGAGTGTGTGCACCAGGCCTCCCTGGAGCTCAAGAACAGCAAGAAGCTTGCCAAGATCCTAGAGGTGAGACCCACGTCCCCTCCTGGGATGCTCACTGCCATCCCAGCATCTGCTTGTCCCAGCTAAAAAGAGAGATGGGAAACTGGAACGTGCATTTGGCTCTTTGGCGAGTGCCATGTCTCACTTGTTCCCTTCTCCTCCTCCCCCCTACCTTCTTTTCCTCCCCTTCTTCCTCGCTTCTTCCTTCTTCCATTTTCCTCTCCTCCTTGCCTTCTTATAGATCTAGCTCATAAATGCTTCAAGTTAGATGACTCTTAGACTACGGAACCTAGAATGTTAGAGGTGGAATAGATCTTGGAACATAGAACACAGACTGTCAGAGCTAGAACATAGGACACAAAATGTCAGAACTGGAAAGGACCTTAGGAGACGAGATAAGAACGTCAGAGCTGAAAGGACCCTTTGAACCCACATAGTCTAACTATCTCATTTTATAAGTGAGTCAGCTAGGGCTCAAGAAAAGAGAAGTGATTTACCCAAGATCACACAGCTAGTTAGTAGGAAAGCCTAGATTAGTTCTCAGGACTCCTGACTTTTAGCCTTTTCTATTTTCTTAAAATTTAATTTAATTAACAAAGATCAGACTCTTCTCCTCCCCCATCTGAAAGTCCTCCACTAAGTGCAAAAACAAGAAAAAAAAACCCTGCTACAAACAGTATGGTCATGCAGGACAAAATTTCTCATTGGTCATGTCCAAAAAAATTATTTCTCCATCTGTGCTCTGAGTCCATCACCTCTCTGTCAGGAGGTGTGAGTCCTCAGAAATTGTGGTTGCTCATTGCGTTGATCAGTTCCCAGGTTTTCCTTTTGTTTTTTCTTTTTTAAAAAATATATATTTTGTTTTAATCAGCCAAGATCCACATTTTCCATCTCCTACCCCAATTTCTCCCTAATTGAAAACACAAGAAAAACAGAGCTCATAACCAACGTGTCTAGTCAATCCAAACAAATTTCCAGTTGGACATGTCTGAAAAGACATTTGTCTCATTCTGAATTTTGAGTCCTTCAGCTCTATACCAGGAGCTGGGTAGCAGGTTTCATCATGAGTCCTCAAGGATCCTGGTTGGTCATTACACTGATAAGAATTCAGCACAGTAGTATTCTGTCACATTTATATACCATAACTTGTTCATTTTCCAATTTATAGAAATTTATTCCCTTAGATTACTATTCTTTGCCATCTCAAAAAGGGCTATAAATGTTTTTGTACATTCTTAGAATTTGTTTTGTTTAGGATTAATCCCTTCTCCATCCTCCCTCTAATTCCCTCTCTGCTTTTTCCCTCCTATTTCACTGTTGAGTGAAATGTATTTCTGTACCCAATTTTGTGTGCGTGTGTGTTCTTTCTTCTTTTGGCTAGTTCAAGTAAGAGTGAGATTCAAGTGTCAGCCATTCCCTCCTCCTCTCATCTGTTCCTCTATATTTGCATAGATGTCTACTTGTGCACCCTGATTTTATGCGATAATTTCCCCTAACCATCCCTTCCCTTCTGCCTCTTCCCCCCATCCTTTCCTCACAATGTGTTTTTCTTTCCTCTTTCCATTCTTTTGAGATCATTAAGTCACAAAGAATCACTCCCAGGCTTTATCTAACTCGATACCCTCTGTGAATGCTGAGGATGATAGGAATTAGAGGAGATACATGTATCACCTCCCCATGTAAGCAGTTTATCCGCGTCTAGTCCTTTTTCATTAGTCATTCATGCTTATCTTTTCATGTTTCTCTTCCTCTTGTTTTTGTAGTTCAAAGTTTCTCCATAGTCCTGGTCTTGTTGTCAGGAATTCTTGGAAGCCTACTATTATTTTATGAAAGGTCTATTCTCCCCCATGGTATTGTTTCAGTTTTGCTGAATAAGTGACTCGTCCTTTGCACTCTAGAATATCATACCCCGAGTTCTCCGCTTCTCTATAGTGGTAGCTTTAAATCATGTGTGATCTTGATTGGCTCCTTAGTACTTGAGGGGTTTTTTCTCGTCACGTTCCTGTGAGTTTTCATCTGGAGGTTATTTTCAGGAGGTAACCAGTAGACTCTTTCTGCTTTTAGTTTGCTGTCTGTTTCTAAGAGATCTGGGTAGTTCTCTTTTAAAATTTCTTGGAAAATGATGTCTATGCTCTTTTTTTTTTTGGTCCTAATGTTGAGATAGTTCAGTGATTCTTAGATTTTTCTTCCTTAATCTGTCTTCTAGGTCAGTTGTTTTTTCCTATGAGATACCTTACTTTTTTTTTTCCTATTTTTTAAATCTGTTGACTTTAAAATTTTTTGTTACCTCATGGAGGCATTAGCTTCTGTTTGGTCCATTTGAATTTTCAGGGAATTTGTTGCTTGGGTAAGATTTTAACCTTTTGTACCAAGCTGTTAATTTCCTTTCCAATTCTTTCTTCTATAGTTCTCATTTCTTTTTCAATTTTTTTTTCCCCAAGCGCTCTCATTCCAACCATAAAAATATCTTTTAATTTTTGATTCATCTCTTCCAGGAATTCCAGTTGAGTTTGTGCCCAAGTTGTGTTTTTCTCTGAGGCAATGCTTGTAGATGTTTTGGGGTCATTCTCTTCTGCATTTGTGTCTTGAGCATCTCTGCTGTCACAATAGCTTCATATGACAGGGGGGTTTTTGTTTGTTTGTTTGTTTGTTTGTTTGCCCATTCTTCCAGCCTAATTTCTCACCTCAGATTTGATGTCAGGGCTAGGCTTTGCAGCACTTCTGGAGGGAGGGTCTGGGCTGGTCTTGCTGCTGCTTTTTTGGGATGTTGAATGTTGTGTTATTCCAAAATCTCAGGGACAAGCTAGGGACCTGCAAGCTTTCAGTCCTCTCAAAGCGTATTGACCCAAGGCAAAATCTGATTGCTGGCTCCCTGGGCCTGAGCTTTGCAAGTTCCTGGCCTGGGTTTGGGTTGGAGCAAGAGTAGACTTCTGGCCCCGTCAACCAGAGGGAATACACTCTTGATTCAGAGTGGCAGAATAGTAGGCACCCCTTTGGTGTGGGACTTCTGCCTTGCTTTGTGCCAGAGGTCTGAGCCGCACCACTGCTATTGCTGCTGGATTCCGAATTTTCTCCTTTCTTGGATACACTGTCCAGGGCCTCCCTACAAGGAAGCAACTCTGCAAACTATTTCCCACTCCTCCCTAGAACTGCAACCTGGGGCTGGATAATGGGGGACACAGCTGCCAGTTGGACTTGCTTTCTCTCATAGTGCCCTTGTATGGTTCTAGGGGTGCCCCGGTACAGGTCTGGGACCTCCTCTTGCCCTGGTGCACATCTCCCTGGGTGCTGGAGTGTTTTCTGTGTGCAATGTGCTCTTGGTCTGACCTGTCCCCAGTGTCCTCCAGACCTCCCTGTATCTCTTCCTATGACCACCTGGAACACACAAAGGACTCTCTGTGACTTTTTCTGGATTTCCCCATCAGGATTCAGTCTGATGCATTTTCTAGATTTGTTAGGAAGAGCTCACTGCATTGCTTCCTATCATTTTTACTGCCCTCCCTTTAGAGGCATCATACTCCCACACTGCCAGTGACTTCCCACATAGGGAAGGCCCCTTGAGCTACTTGGCCTGTCACCCCTATGGATGAGGTCTTCTCATCTCGTTTCCATTCCCACAGTGTGTTGTCTGTGCCTACAGTTCACACTCTCCAGGCCCCAAAAGCAGATTTCCTGCAATCTGGGACAGACCAGCACAATTTATCCTGCCTAGGGGATTTGGGCAGCAGCAGAGTGGGAGAGCCATGGCATGCTCTGCAGGCGCTTCCCTCCCACAGATTGAGTCCTAGCCTTTTCTCAGTAGACCACAGTGTTTCATCTCCCCATTACACTTTTCTTTTCTTGGTCTTTCTTCTTCCCTTTGTTTCCCCTTCCTTCTCCTCACCATCTCCCTGATTAGCTCCTACCATTTGCTGCCCAGCCCCAGCAGGTTCTGGATATCAGAAGTAAGTCCAATCTCCTCCTTGTTTCAGCCTCAGGAGCAGGGCAGAAAGAAGGGCAATATAGGGTTACTGCTCACTGCTCCAAAGAGCTAAGAGATTCCTGAAAGTGAATCAGCAGGAGGCCTTTCCTGCACCCTGTCTCCTCCCCACAACATTTCAGGGCTCAATATTGCAGAAAGTAAAAATGCTTAGCTGCTGCTTTAGGCCTCTCTGGCTCCCTGCCTTCAGGACCAGCTGGGCTAGGATGGTCAGTGCCGAGGACAGCAGCTCCTGGCAGCAGAAACAATGGTCACGGGATTTAAATGACATTTCTGGACAGTGTGTCCATGTACAAGGGAAAGATTTAACCTAAAGGGAAAAATACCAAGAAATTCTGAGGGTGCCTTCAGCCTACACACTGTGACTAGATCATCTTAAGGGCCCACAGGCCCCTACTACACACTGGGTGATCTGAGCTTCATTCCTACCACCTCTTCTTGATGCGTTCAAGGAGAACTCGAAATAGTTTCACCCCTTGGCATTGTCCAAGTATCATATCCATCCTGGAGTCAAATGGAAAGCAGTGTGGGAGGTGAACATGGAGAGAGACAATCAAAGTCTTGCTGTCTACCTTAGAGAAGGTAGAAGGTAAGCAGGTGCTGAGAGAACAGGGGCCTGCTTCTCCCTTGCCTTCTCTGTTGGGGAGAAAGTGGGAGTTAAGCTTGACTATAGGAAGCTGGGCTAGGAGGAAGGGGAAGATGCCCTTTTTTTGGGGGGGGGGGAATAAGTTGAATGTGACCTGATGAAGCAGTGGGTGGTTTCTCTCTTGGCAGTTCGTACTTGCAATGGGCAACTATCTCAACAATGGACAGCCGAAGACCAACAAAACCACAGGCTTCAAGATCAACTTCTTAACTGAGGTAAGGAGGCCTGATACACTGTGATATACCTGGACATCAGGGCCGGAGGTGACGGTGGTCTGAACTGGGGCTGGGTTCTTGGGGTCAGGGATCAGAAGGCAGATGAGGGCCGTGTTATGGAGGAAAAATGGACATGATATGATGTGAGAGATAAAGGAAGAGGAAAAGAGATGAAATTAAATTTGAGTTTTGGAACCTAAAGGGCTGGAAGTATGATTAGCAATAATGGGAAATTTGGAGAAAGGGTTAATTTTGAGGGATTAATGATGGTTAGTGGGGTATCTATGGGAAGACATTCTGTGGGCAGTTGTGGGTTAGAATCAGCAAGGCCTGAAGGTGAAAATTTGGAAATAGATATATGAAGACTCGGGAAAATGTTACACAAAAAATTCAGAAAAGAAGCATGGGAGTGTTTGTTTTTCTGAGAACATGCCTTATGTTTTCCATAATTTGGGGGGGGGGAAGAAAAATTTTGTATTATAAATGTTTTAGAATGCTGAATAAAATGCTTAAACAGAAATGTTTTTACTTTGTTTCCTGACCTTTACTCCTCAAAAATAATTACTTGAAACTATGCGATAGGAAATTTTGAACATAAAACTGTCTACAACACTCAATCATTATAGTTCCTACCCACTGAGAACACAGTGAGAGCATATAAACTCCTTGAATGCAAAAAAAGGTGCATTTCTACCTCCATGGGCAGAGAAGAAGGAGGTCGAGAGGGTTGCTACATTCATTCCAAGAGAAAGAAGAATTCAGTGCCTTCTTTGCCTGTGGGTTTCCTCATCCTGGTTTTTGAGCTGGGAGTTGGTGAATATGTTACTACCCCCCTGAGGAGGCCTCAAAGGGTCTGACAATAGAGGGAGTTATGGGTAGGAGCATTTACAGTTATCCCTTCCATATGATGACTTTTCCCTATCATGGTTTGGATATACTGCAGGTCGGCACATGAAATTAAATGGGAACTCTTGGGGAGTTTTGCAGAAGCCATAGACAACACACAAAGGCCAGCAGATGACACAGAAAAAGTCTGAAAACTCAGAAATGCAATAAAATATATGTATAGTACTGTATAATATCAGCCCATATTTTACAATAAGGTAACATAAGTACCCCATAAAAGAAAAAGAAAAAATTCACACTTCTCTGGTAGGAAGAGAAGGCCAAAAACTTTTATGGGGATTTTCCTAACAGCGGACACTCTGTATCCCTAACCCCCACGATGTGGAAGGGATAACTGTACTTATTCCTGTCAAGATTGGAAACAAGGAGATTATTGCCTGGCTTGGTCAAAAGACTAGGACAGAGAAGAGTAAGAATCTTAAAAGTTGTGAAATATGTTTCCTTTTGGCCCTGTGACCTTGAAGTCTACAAAGTAGCAGAAAGACCCTACTTCTTTTTTGAAAGGTAAGCATTTAAATATATAGGCCTTCATCTCCTCTGGCACTGAATTCTGCAAGATACAGAATATTAAGCCACATTTCAACTGTATGATTGTATTTTCGTTATCCTTATAAATCAAAAGTACAGTAGGAAGGGCCTTGAATTTGGAGTCAGAAGACCTGGGTTCCAATCCTGGCTCTGCTATTGACTATAAGTCAGTTTACCTCTCTGGGTCTCAGTCAACCCTCTGTAAAATCAGGGGGTTGAACTAAATTACCTCAGATGAGTGTTTCTAGCTATAAATACTATGATAACTAAATTGCTTCTAACTATAAATGCCATAATAATTAAAGCTGTATGAATGTGATGCTTTGGTTAAAGTCACTTACTACAAACAAACCTTAGAATGACACAAGAGCTAAGGGCTAGAAGATTGTATACAGTTAATGCTAAAGAAATATTGTGTCAGGTTCCCTCCCATGGGACAGGCACTCAGCTGGGATAATCACATAGCAAGTTTTCAAAGTTTATCAGTTTTTCTAGGCTCTGGAGCAGCCCCACCACAAATAGCCAGGAATGTTCCATACTTAACTTATGCAACATGGAAGACAGGGTGCTGGACCTAGAGTCTAGAGACCTGCCTGCCACAGATTTACTAATGTCAAAGAAAAAAATATGTTTTACTCTTCTTTAGGCAGAAGTCTACTAGGAGCAATCTCATTTGTCATTAATCTAAATCCTAGAGAGGAAAAACCTAGAGAGAAAAATGCCCAAACTGGTATTGTCCCTCTGTGTCCTTAGACATCTCTCTATCCCAAGACAATTTGAGGTAACATTTATAGGAATCTTGAATAAGGGAAAGATCATATGGGTTTTTTTTTAAGGTGATTGGGGTTAAGTGACTTGCCCAGGGTCACACAGCTAGTAAATATCAAGTGTTTGGTCTGAGGCTGGATTTGAACTCAGGTCCTCCTGACTTCAGGGCCAGTGCGCTATCCACTGCACCACCTAGCTGCCCCAGAAAGATCATATGTTAAAATACAATTCAGGGTTAACATTCCAGAACACTGTTTTTCAGTGGTTCAGTCATGTCCAACTCTTCATGATTCCATGGACCATAGCATGCCATGCCCTTCTATTTGCCACTTTCTCTTAAAGTCTGTCCAAGTTCATATTCATTGTTTCCATGATATTATCTATCCATCTCATCTTCTCCTGTCCCCTTTAACCTTTTGCCTTCAATCTTTCCCAATGTCAGGGTCTTTTCCAATGAGCCCCTCTTCTCATTATGTGGCCAAAGCATTTAAGCTTTGGCTTCAGTATTTGACCTTCCAATTAATAGTCCAAATTAATTCTTTAAATATTGACTGATATGATTTCCTTGCTTTCCAAGGAACTCTTGTTGTCCCAGTTTTTTTTTCTTTTTGGTGAGGCAATTGGGGTTAAGTAACTTGCCCAGGGTCACACAGCTAGTAAGTGTCAAATGTCTGAAGTCAGATTTGAACTCAGGTCCTCCTGACTCCAAGGCCACAGTTCTATCCACTGCGCCACCTACCTGACCCCCAAGGGACTCTTAAAAGTCTTCACCAGTACTACAAATAGAAAATGTCTCAGTTTTCCTTATAGTCCAACTCTCACAGCCATATGTTGTTACTGGAAAAACCATAGCTTTGACCACACCTACCTTTGTTGGCAAGGTGATGGCTCTGTGTTTTAGTATGCTGAGCAGATTTGCCACAGCTTGCTTTCTAAGGAGCAAGTATCTTTTACTTTCATGGCTGCAGTGATCCTTGAACCCAAAAATATAAAATCTGACACTGTTTCCATTTCTTCTCCCTCTATTTGCCAGGAAGTGTTGGGACCAGTTGCCAAGATCTTAGTTTTTTTGATGTTAAACTTCAAGTCAGCTTTTACACTCTCCTCTTTCATTCTCATCGAGTGGCTTCTTAAGTCTTAATTTTCTACCATCAGAGTGGCATCATCTGCATATCTGAGATTGTTGATATTTCTCCAAGCAACCTTAATTCTGGCTTTTGATTCATCTCCAGCCTGGCATTTCTCTTGATGTACTCTGCATATAAGTTAAATAAATAAGTGACTATTGTCACCTTGTCATACTCCTTCTACAATCTTAAACCAGTGAATGTTCCATGTTTGGTTCTGTTGTTTCTTGGCCCACATACAGGTTCCTCAGGAGACAAGTAAGATGATCTGGTACTCCCATCTCTTTAGGGACTTGCCATATTTTGTTGTGATCCTCACAGTTACTAGTCACTACCCAGTTCTCTCCTTGGCCACTCCCCTCAAGGACTGCAGGTTATTCTAAATAACCTGAAGTCATTTCCCTTGGGTCAGTCACAGGCCAATTGCTTTGGGGCATGGGGAGGGCAAGGATCTAAATAAGACCAAGAAAAGTTGTTTTCACATGCAACTAGGAAATAATATATACAGGAAATGAGGTATAGAAATCTATTCTGCCCTTCAGGAAAATTGAAGGAGAAGGAGATAAGAGAAGGGAGGGAGAGATAAAAGGGAAGGCAGATTAGGGGAAGGGGTATTCAGGATGCATGCCATCTTGGGGTGGGGGGAAGGACGAGATGGGGAGAAAATTTGGAACTCAAAATCTTGTGGAAGTGAATGTTGAAAACTAAAAATAAATTAATCAAAAAAAAATTAAGAATAAATAATTAAGACCCAGAAATGTCTATCTCCTTTAATCCATTCAAGAGGAAGGCCTTAGCTTATGTTCCAGCCATTTTCCTGAAGAAAATATTGTTTCTTAACATTTTCAGTTGAACTAAAAAAGCAGATTTTAATATGCTTCCTTGTTAGCTATGTGACCCTAGGCAAGTCATTAACTTTCCTTCGTCTGTTTCCTCAGCTGTAAAACAAGGAAGGAGGTTGTACTCAATGCCTATAAGGTTCCTTTTAGCTGTAAATGTATGACTATGAAAAAATAATTCACCTTAGACATTACCTGTGTGACCCTGGACAAGTCACTTGCCTCTCTCTGCTTCAGTTTCCTCATCTATAAAATGATAAGCCTTGACTTGACTCCTAAGTACCCTTCTAGTTTTGAATCAATGGAGGGCAAAGATTGGGGAACCCAAGCCACTAGACTGCCCCTCCCAACCCCATCCTGCCCCTCCAGGGAGCCTCTGCTTTGCTGGTTATAATCAGTAATACTCCCATTCCTTCTGAATTCCTTAAGAGCTGGGGCCCAGAAGGGCTGATGCCATCATTCACTACTTCCCCAGAGCTGATTCCCCCTAGTTGAGCCCCAAGGAAGTGCTCTCAGGGAAGTCTCCAGCTTCCCTAGTCCCTTTTCCATTCTCTCCCACCTCTGGACATGCTGAGCTTTCCTTTGCATGTTATTACCAAATCTTTGTATGCTGCCGCCCAGGGTTTATGTGTAAGCTATTCAGCGACCTGCTTTACTTTTCTTCCTCTCAGCAAACTGGTAGGATCAAATTCTAACCTATAAGAGCATTTCAACCCTGACTCATTCTGAGAAAAATAAAAAAAAAAATCTCAAGATTTCACTTATGGATGCAGTGAGCGTTTCCAAATGAATCTGGGTATAGATAACGGATGAACTCTTGACTACAAATTGA